AAGTATTTAAAGAAAAATCTTTTAACGGTTTAAAATGCGAAATCTGTTAGTTACATTTATTGACAATTTTTTTTAACTAGCCCTTACCGCCGAAAGCAAGGTTGGGCCTTAATTTAAAAAAATGTAAATAAGTTTAACTAATAATTTTAACTACAGACAATATTTAAATTCTAAATTAACCTACCTAATACATTTCGCGTTTTAAACCGTTAAAGTGTTTTATTTCAATGTGTACTACTCGCGTAAATTACGGACTTAACCGTCAATGGTATAGAGATGGCGATGCTGTTGTGCTGATATATGATATCGTATCGTCTGAAAAGGGCCTTAAAATGTTTTATAGCAACGAAAACAAAAGTATATTAAAGAGATTGTGAACTGGCACAGCTAAATCCCATTTGAGGAGCGCGGAGTACGGCTTGAATGCGCAAACGTCCCGAGTTATTCCAGCCGAGCGCTCAACGTTCCCTATCAAAGAAAACGATTCGTACACATCCTTATTCCTGTGTCTATGTTTAAATGAACGGTAAACTTGAGACAAACGCTTTTTATGTATCCAGCAGTTTGCTTTTGTTTTGCTAAATCGGACGTACTTGATGTTTGTCATCAACTGTGTTGTGTGTCAACCGAATTGATTCTTTATTGAAAACCAATAGCTATACAGCATTTGATATATTATTTGAAACAGTACTTACTTAATACTGCTAGGAGATCATCATCGGGTTCAAGGAGAATAGAACTGTTTTAACGGGTCAAAATGTGACATGTATTAAACTTAAGGACTCGGTAGCTCAGTTGGTTAGAGCAACAACACGGAACGCTGACGATGCCGATTCAAGTCCTGCTCAAGTCGTAAACATTTGTATTTTCAAATCAAATTTAATTTTTATGTTAACTACGACCTGACGTTTCGAATGCTTTGCAGCAGCTATGGTCACTAGAAGTCGGCGTTTAACTAACAAATTTCGCGTTTTAAAATGTGTAAAACTGTTTTATTTCAATTACTCGCGTAAATTACAGATAATACCTAATACAAAAGATAATGTCTATGAAGTAAGAGATAATAATTTTAATAACAGTGAATTTATTATACACGAGAGCTTATACACTTTGAAAGAGTAATTAAACAAAGGAGAAACGGTATTCTAGATGACCCTGTAGCTCCACAAGATGTTCGTAGTGAGTTCGAGTCTCACCTTTTCATAGATTTTTCTTTCATAGATCTTTCGAGAATATATTCTCAAGCAATAAGGATTTGCAAGAATATTTTATATGCAATTAACGTCAAGTTGGATGATCGCGGCGACACCGACGATCTCCAGACGGCTCTCCAAGAGGACTTCCTTCCTTGATTAAAACTCGGAATAGTAAACGGCGAAACAATTTTCCTTCTTTGCGCGTCCCCGTCTCTCGAGAAAACTAATATTGAAACGTGCGGATGGGAAAACTTTGATTTTTTTTTGCCCCTCTTGTTATGGCAGAAAATTTGCAGCTCGTCACATTTATATATACCATAGCAATGTAAACAAAAGAAATCACGTTTAAATTATCAATCATTACATTATAAAACAAGGACAACACAACGTTGTTGTCTGTACACAACTGAAAAAATTCGTCGAAATTACCATTCGACGCCAATTATCGATCGATATATATTAACTTTGTTTAAAAAGGTTATGCTAACCAGATGCATGTGGGTAGATGACATATGTCATTGAGATTGAGGGTGATGTTTTCCTTGACCAATAAAAATATCAGTCAATCAATAAATTTTAGGGCAGGACCGGGAGCGAACTTTAAACTCTCGAAGTCAATTGCTCAAACCACTTAACCAAAACTCTCAATTAATTAAGTATTTTCACGTCATAACGCAAACATGTTGAAATAAAGAAACTAATACTCATATAAAACTGAAGATTCTGTTTGTTTGAAGGCGTAATCTTAGGTACCACTGGTTCGAATTGAAAAATTATACTATATATTTATTTTAATTATTTTTGTGTTGAATTAAGCATTTATCGAGAGAGGCTATAGAATATAAAAAATAGCGTTGTGACAAATAGGAGCGAATAGACAGCGGAAAGTGTGAAAATACGGAGAAAATTATTCGCGAAAACGGTTCGAGATACCCAAAAAAGGTGTGCAAAATACTGATATCTCTTTTAAGATTAACTTGCAAAAACGACGTTTTCGAAGATGATGAGGTTTGCAAAACATTAAGATACTTAAATAACTATTCTTCGCGGAAGAAGTCGCTGACACAGCTACTTCTAAGATAAACCCAAGCTTGTTATAAATGAAGAGCGCTTATCTGCCGACCGTGTTGTTATTTATTGTGAATATGATTGTCATGAGTCGATTTTTGTCGAAAACTTCGGCATAATCCCGATCCATCGTTACAGAAAACTTGTAAGTTGTTCGCGTCTCAACGGATAATCGAGTTTATACTTGGAGGGCCGCCATCAATCATTTATCCCACTTACTCCATCTCCACATCTCGCGGATCGACGCTGCGCTGAAGGAAAAACTTTAAAGTGCTCCCTGTAACTGTGACATATCGAACACTTGATCATTTGCACGACCTACTTAAATTATAAGTTCGACATGTTTACATTATTAAGTACTTCCGGAAACGCTGCTTAAATGGTGGAAAGTTACGCGCGTATGAAGATTAAACGCTCCTTGGAGAAATCTTGTATTTCGTTAGTACGCTCACTCAGGTGAGGACCTTAGTTTATACTTAAGACCATATTCTCCATAAAAAGTTTAAATATTTTGTGGCACATTGTATGCGTGATGTTGTCGAGTAGAAGTCTAATGACTCCATTGTCTTATATATACTATGATTTTACCTGTAAACTCTATTAAATAATTTATCCGTTTCTAGTCAATCTACTCTAAAAGACATTATAAGCGGACTTTTTATTTACAATTTATATCATTCATACTTGTGAATACCGCTATCAGTCGAAGTTGTATATACATAATTCAAGTGTAAAATTACCGTCTCGAAACAAACAAAGCCTGAAAAACTTCCGTAAAGTAGTTATTTACATATTTAACTTTAATATAAAACTGAAATGAAACCCAAAAAAATATTATTTACGGGTTTCAACTCTAAATATATTAGATACAATTAATTTAAAATTGTATTTTATATTTAAATCGTAATCTTTTTCACGTTTTGAACGGATAAAATGTTTTGTTAAAACGTGCTAGTCGCGTGAACTACCGACAATGCGTAAAATAATATAACAACATTTATAAAAAAACTCAAATCTCATTCTTCCATATAGTATACATATTTATATACTTTTGTCCCTCGCCGTAAATGAAACATGAAAAATCCAAATACGACAAAAAAGAAATTAGCAAACCATCTAGATAGACGCTCGTATGAGTGTTTTATGAGCACTTAAGTGTCTTTCGGAAGAGGGATGCTTAAAAGTTGAGCCTTCGAGACCGCACCGGGATCGAGTAGGCTCTACTTATAACATGACAATGTCAGATTTTATCGTAGCCGAGGACATTTTTATGGCCAGTTACAAAAAGTTTATGAATGCCCCACGGAGTTTCGCTATATTGTCGTTTTTATTCGCGTTTGGATACGTTTGTTAAATTAAATTCTTGTGCTCTGCGTCTCTGTGCAATGAAATACTAAAAATATTCTCTTGTTACTAATAGCTGGTACTTTCAATTATAATGTAATAAAAATGTAAGTACTATATACTTAAACTATATAAAAAAAGTATTTAGACAGTTTAAAACGCGAAATATTTATGTTAATTCAATTTAAATTATGATTCTAAATTTCGGGCTTAAACCGAGTAAAATATTTTATTTAATATATACGGCTTTCGTAACGTAAAGAAAATACCTGTGTAAATTTAGCCTTTTAATAAACAGTACATTTGAAGCGAAAGATAGAAAAATATCAACGTTTTACAGAGAATTATATCATTAAAAACAACATGCAGAAGCGTCTGATCTCCAATATTGAACTACAAAGAACCTCCTCACAGCTCCAACGCAAAAAATTAAATTACAATGAATCCGAGCAAGTTTCAATTTTCAAAAAGCTCGGTAAACTTGAGACGCGCTCTGCTCTCAGCATAATATCCTTGCAACTTAAATTTCCATAATTAGTCGACGCCTATCTTGCAGCTATCGCGTTCACCATCAAATAAAGTGAATATTATATTACGTGTTGTATTTTAGTTTCGTAAGCGAACAAGTTTATAATTAAAATTACGCAAACAAATCGCCGAACGGACGGGACGACGCGAAGTTAAAAACTAACGTAGATGTAAATAGAAACTGTTAATTTCCAACTGCAAAAAGTGCCTTAACTGTGTAGTAAGAGGACAAATTAGAGGGAATGGAATATAGTTTACTTTAAGTTAAACTTATTACGATCCTCTAGAAACAAGCTCTCGGAGGCTCGCTCGGCGCGCGGGTCAAGTGCCCAATTTGTCACCCGTGCAAACTTCCGACTACTTACTTCGGCCGGGCCCGTTCGATTCCATTAAACTTTCAAGATCTTTGAAGCTATTTCTTTTTCCAAGATTTGCCTAATTCATCCTATAAGTTGTTTAGGAGTTTGAAAATCGCGTAATTTATTGCCTCCGTCCTTTAATAGCGCAGCGATCGATGGCGTACATAAATCGAAATAAAAGTCGCCCCAGGTTACAATGCCCTATCATAAAAATTAAATTACGGCAGGAGTTTCATTGTAAGTGCGCGCCATTTTATAGGGACGCACCACGATAGCGTGAGAGGCACAGTGCGCCACATCAAACGGCTCATACTGCCGAGGTCTCGTACAAATCGAATTTGCCAGCACTTTTCTTTCGTTACCACTCAGAAAGCTCTTTTTTACAAAGGTACCTTATATTTAGAGGATCGCTAGAGAGTGTTCGCCATAAATGCGATTTACTTTATAATGATAGGAGCCCGAAGAGTGACTTATCAAAGTTTTATATAGCGTCCGTACAGCGAAATCAAGTGGCTAATTTGTCAGTGAGCAGAAACTTGGCGTGGCGGACTTGTACTGCCTCTGCAATTCGATTAAACTTCCACCAAAGTATATGTACTTTACCTCCACGAGAGAAGAGCCTACTTAACGAAACAACGCTGTACATTTACGATATAAATTAAATTAACTAACTTATGAGCGTGGGGTAGCTTTCCGATTTCTTGCCCAAGGGCAAGGGCTTGCTCGAGAGCACTTAGGAATAAACTACATTCGAACAACAACTATTTTTTTACGTCTAATTCATTTACCTAATTTAAGCAATACATTAATAAAGAAATAGGAGTACAGATTAGGAAATTGTTCTAAATATCTTTGAATCCCAAGATACTAAACGAGTGTGTATGTCTAAAGTGTAGACCAAAAATAACTTACCTTCAGATAGAAATAGTCTGTCAGAATCAGGGGGCTGGTCTGCTGCAGCTCTATGTCGTAAAGTGACATGCAGCGAGGGACCCCGTGGTGGTACTTCGGGGGGAGCTGGCTCCGGTGGAGAATCGCAATCCCGTTCGCTTTGACCAGCACTTGTAGGACCTGTAACATACAATTAATTCATGTTTAACTTATGGTAATAGATGTGCAAAAGATTTAATGTAATTTTAAATAGTTTTGTGTAATTTTTCAATTATACAAGGGCAAATAACGCCTTGTGAATTCTTCGTGAAACAGAAATCGTTACCATGTTTGTATACCATACATACATTACCATAGTTTTATTATATTTATTTTAACTATAGCCCGACATTCTGGATACCTTGAAGAAACGGTGGTCATAGGGTTTATATTGTTTAAGTGTTTAATCTTTATAATAATGCTTATTTTAGGTTGTTTATTATTTAATGTAGTGTCTTTTTTATTACTATAAATCCTACAAAATAAGTTATCTTTCTATAAACTTACCATATTCCATATTTTCAATATAGCCAAAGAATTTACGAATGATCTAAAGCTAAGCCTTGCCTTCCTAACATTCTACGTTGCTACGTCCGTAGCACTTGGTTGTAACACGTCATCTACATTATAAGATAATGCAGAATTGATGTTCCTGCAGTCGAATCAAAAATAATAGTCACACATTTTTAAAACATTTAATACCTAGATATCGTAAGTAGAAGTGTGCTTTTATGAATTAAATTGCATTAAAAATGAATGTATATTATTATTTTTCTTGATTAAGTAATTTACCGACTTTTAAATATGTTCAATACAAACTATTGTAAATTATAAATTGTTTAAATTTTTTATATATAGGGATATAGATCAAACTATAATATTTCGCGTTTTAAACCGTTAAATTTGTTTTATTTCAATATCTAAACCTCTACAATACCTCGTAAGAGATTACAAGAGATTAGAAATAATCTCTTGTAATCTCTTTCCTATAGTAATTCTCAAATTTCCAAAAACGTTTGGCTCTAATAACATTGTTATCCCGGATGCTTTAGTACGCTGAAGTCACGTGCGTCTGGCTTCGTCGAAGTATGCGAAACATGCTTATCAAAGGCATGCACCCACCTTAGCATTACGCTTATAATAGGCATGCTGCAGAATGTCTAACTATAACAACTACGATGGAATTCGCTGGATATATGTGCCTCGTTCATTCCTTACATTTCCGGATGATTCAGTACATTAATATCGAATGCGTTATGCGCGTCACATAACACATATGTGCATTCTTAGTATAGGCATAACTTATATTATTTGCTGCGAATCATAGATATAATATAGACGGCTTACATTCTTATATCTTCGTATATATTATACCAACTCACGCAAAATCCTATTATAGTTTTGGTGAGTATTTTTTTTGTATATTACTTTTAATTTTTTAATTCGGAATCTTTTATCTTTTATTTATCCGTCAGGATTATTATTTTTTATAACTTATATGTTAAAAAGGATCGTAGCCAAGATACTAGTTACAGAATGATAGCCATGTCTTAAAAAAGTAGATAGATAGATAGATATTCGCGTATATTACAGACAAAACATAAATTATTGTTTGTAAATGTAGTACACATTAACAGAACAGTTTTAAAATAAAAAAAATAAGTCAACTCATATATGTCGCGTTATAAACCGTTAAATGTTTTATTTAAGTAAGTACGCATGACTTTATTGTGTCATGTCTAACTAACTAAAATTAATCATAGAAAATCACTTTAAACTCAAATCATATAGGTGTATTGGCTCATAAATATTATTGATTAGTTTACCGTTGAGGTTTCCATGTCTAGCCCGATTCCCTTCATCTTGCCGCCGGGTGCGGCGAGACAACGTCCCTCCCGACTCGTTAAATATTTCTTCATCTACAAATACAAACAAATAATAATTATTATCAAAGTCTTATTATCTATAAAAGAAAGCTCATTTCCTGCGTCCTTTTCATTGATCTGTTCTTTATTTACAAGCATGTTGTTTATAAGACTATCGTGCCTGGCCCTACCGAATTATTATATTGTTGCACGGGGTTCGAACCAAGGAACTCTCACGGTTAACGCAATGCTAAGCAACACGTTTAACCATATGACTAAAGAGGCGATATTTTTCCTATATAATAACTTAATTACTAATTTAACTGGCTCATATTATAATTACCAAAAAAAAATTATATGTTTTAATTGAGTCAAAAGATAAAAAGGTTAAATGAACTTGCTTAACAAATATTTCATAAAAAGTGCGTTAAATTAGTAAACGTGTATCAATTAAAATCGATATTAGATTGAAAAAAAACATCACGACACGAGGAGGACTCTACAGCGTCGCGTGGTGTTGCTCTAACCGATTGAGCTATCCTGTCCTACACGTCATCGTCATTGGCGTTTCAAGTTTAAAATCTTTTAGAAAAAACGATGTTTTTAATTTAAAATAGATTTTTATTTTTACATAAAACAAAAACATGTTAAAAATATTAATGCTTCCTAACTACAATAATAATTACAAAGCATCAATCAGCACAATAAAGTAATTGTAATGATTTGGATTTGGATTCGCCAAATCCAAAGCCTATTGTGGCTTTGGTCGTACCATCAAGTGCGTCCTCCTCTATCAAAAAAATATATATTAATCAAGATTAGTATTTTAAAATTACCTTTAGAATTTCTGTTTCTTCTGTAAAAGCGGCGGTTGGTGCTCTCAATTGGAAATGGTGACGCCTGTCTTTGTGGACTGCTGATGAAGCGTGGGGGCGCTTCACCGTCTTCCGAACCGTAAATTCTCCGTTGTTCATCTACAAATATATTACTCCAGTGTGAAAAATATTTTTATGATCTCAGAATATCTAGAGCATTATTATGGTGTATTTTTTCTAACTTGGCAAAAGACCTAAGATGGCAAATTTCAAATTATAGATAACTACTAAGTGAATTTAAGATAATTCATTAGTTTAATATATAAACCGGTGTCTCATAATGTTTTTGAGTGTTAATCAATGTAAGCCTCGTAAAAAATGCCAAGTAAGGAAAAAAACATTATTTTTTATAAATGTTTTGCTTGGGAAAATACTTAAAATAACTACTTTTCCCATCTCAGTTTCGTAGTTTAAATATCGTTCCTTATGGACTATGTACATCAGATTTTAAACTTTTTTCCTTATAAAGAACACTGGTATATATGGACATAGACTAAAAAGCTACAGAGTAACGTTAATTGTAAATAAAGAGCTCTTCTACAATATACAAAGGACGCAATTGTTTCTCTAACGTCAACATTACGCATTGTAGTCTAGTTAAGGTGCCTTAATAATTCTAAACAATAACACAAGTTACGTTGGCTGAGGTCAGAGAGAAATGCTAGGGCAGTCGCAGTTTTCGCGTACAGCTGTGTAAATAACACTTACATTAAAATGGTTCGTTATATTTTAATATAACTACCCGCATTTTGTTTAGTTAGTTGGCTACTTTACATACCATTTGTGAAGTGGGGAAAGTTACTAAAACAGAGGGAAGTAAAGAATTCTACAAAATAATGTAATTCCTTTTAAATAAACTACTTCTAACGGTTTAAATGCAGAAAATAGTAGTTTACTTATTAAACATTTATTATTATTACCGTTTGGCCAACCAGTTTTTCCACATACCAACTATAATTAAAGAGATAGCGCTAGCATAGCCTTTTTAGACTTTGACATTGGCGACACCCACCATTTTCATTCCCCCCCATGACCACGTGACCTCCCTCGGGTGCGGAAATGTCTGGCGAACGGTTAACTAAGTAAAAATATTTTGAGCTTTAAAAATAGATGCGCTTTGCGCTTGAAAGATAATAAGATAAGATAATTATTTCAGTTTAAGAATAATTAAGTGTTGTTGTTAAAAGCAGGATTTGTATTTTCAAATAAATGGAAATTAAACACACGAACAGACGTCTATTTTAACATAATTAAAAGATCAAACTCGCTGTGTTATTCGAGACGTTACAACTTCTGCCCTAACATCTAAAATTACTATTTTAACAAAGCTTAAACGTAACATTAACTTAAGTTACGGCCCACAAATAGCCGAAGGCTATGCAAAACTAAGCACCTTGCTTTAGTTTACTCAACGAATTGCAAACTCAATTAGTAGTTAAAACGACCTCTGGAATATATGATGCCTTAACATCATTATAAAGTAGTTGTGCATTTTAAAAAACCAATATATAAGTTTGGGACGGAATATTGATTTTGACAGAGTGGTTGGTCTAATAGTAGCAGTATATAACTATTAACCAACGGTTCATGGGTCCAACATATTTCTAATCATTTATTTTTTTTACAATATTTTGACTTAGGAATATAGAAGTAAAGTCAGAGCCACAAACCACTGTTCAAAGATGAAAATGCCGTGAAGTTTAATCGCGAATCGGTTACAGTCAGTGGATTCCCGAATATTCAAAGCCAAAATAGGTCGACAAGGCGTGTTTAAATGTTGTGAATCCCAGACATGCGACCTCTTGTATCATAAATAATAATAAAATAAAATAGTTTTATTCATTACGTCTACATTTAAAAAAATCGTTATTAGAGCCACTTATGTTGTTTATGAGAAGACCAGCTTAACCACGCCGCATATAGCTTACAGTAACGCGTTACAATGCGTAAAACGATAATTTCTAAATTCAAATCCAGAGCAAAATGTAATAAATAGTAAACTATGTAGTAACAATCATATATGTGTAAATAAAGTCTATCGCCCTTATGGGGGAAATTGCCCCATGAGAGAAACGGCTCCATAGGAGAAACACAGCCTTAGAAAGAACAATAAACTTCAAAGATCGTTGGGATACATATTTTATGACTCCTGCGACGTTTATGTCACGATAAGGCTTTGTTGTAGGATTCGATTACCTTTCAATACAACCTACAATAATGCTTATCCTATGTTTATCCTTTAAACAGTAAATTGCGTAATAGAACCTCTATACACCTTCGAACGAGCAACGATAAAAGTTCATGACTTTGTTATCTAATCTGTGGTAGGAGCTTCTAGTGAACTTTTAATTATTCGTTAATTTCTGAGTTAGTTAAGTATTTTCCGTAGTTTACATGTTAAAAATGTTTTATTTAAATGTGAGCACATAGAAATAAACCACTTTTTAGGATTTAAAATGCGAAATGTTAATGAATTTACTAATAATTATAAGATAACGCATAAGTAAAATTTGATATTAGTGATAGTTATTTAGTAAAATTCAGGATTTCAGTCTTTAAACATGTTTAATAGATTTGTCACAGTAGCCTAGGTTTTTGGTATTTTCTTCTTGTCATTTTAAAATAGAAGCTACTTTTACAATCAATTACAAATTAATTAAAAACTAAATATCTATCATCTGTATCAAGTCTTAACTAAGGCATCTTGAATCCAGTAACTCTTTCATGAAGAAAGCCTTTAAATACAGTAAACCAATTTTAATATTCAACTTGTCGATTTATTCATAAAATTATAACGTCGAGATCAGGTATTTCATCTTATCATGACTACTCTCAGTCTCACAGAGAGGTTTATTATTTAATCTTCACAGATTGTTCGGATTCAGCCCTTGTTGCGGGGCATTAGAGAGTAAATTTCAATATCCTGTAAACGAGTGTAGCTTCCCCTCAGTAAACAAGGGAAAATTGAATATGAAAATTTAATCGATTAATTTATTGGATCACTTATAATCGTACATCTTTTTTTATTATTTGATATCATGATTGTTATGTTCAGAATAGGCGTGTTGTGTTATTTATTCACATTTAGGTAGTTTTAGTTTTAAAAGCATGTTCTATATTTCTTACAATTAAAATAACATTTGATAATTTTCACATGTTATGATGTATTAATAAATAGTTAGAATAAATAGTATTTAGATTAAAATTACTATTGCGCGAGGGGTGCATGTATCAATTAGTTGAAAAAAATCGACAATGACGGGTAGGACGCGGTAGGTTATTTGGCTAGAGCAAGATCACGGAACACTGTGGATGCCGGTTCACGTCCCGCCCGTTCCGTAATTTATTTTCAATCCAAATAGATTTTGTAATTTATGAAATCAACATAATTACTATATTTAAACTAAAGCGATTTTATTTAGTTTAAATGACATGTGCATGAAAAGGCACAGGGCGTGCAATTAGTAGAGCAATAATTGAACAAAGCTTTAAGTTCTTGTCGCGTAATTTTTCGCAAAACTTGTCGCAAAACAATTCAAAGTAAAGTCAGTCAGATAATCAGTAAGGATTCTAGTATATTCTAAAATCAATTAGATAGCATATAGATGGTATATGTTTAATATAAATCCAGAAGGAATATGTTTATAACTCCAATATGTATTATATGTTAAAGTTTTTATTATTTTAAAAAGTGAATTATAACATTTGAATAGTACGCGAATTCGTGGAGGGACTCAGAGCGGTAGTGGTTGCGGTCCGACGCCACCCTCGAAATTTCCATTTTTAGCCCTTTTCACCTCGTCTCTAAGCCCCGTCCTTCCGTCCGTCCGTCCTATTCAGCTGTATTTCTATGACTATATTTATTTCTATAATCATAGTTAACAGCATAAAATATGTGATTTTTTTTTTGTATAGAATCGGGTTAGACTATGGGTATACAGATACCGTTGACTTCGTCCGCGTAGAAGTTATTTTATAAATTATACTTATTACCTACAACGTCGCCCGCGTCTCTTTGCGTTGTCCTTGCGAATAGATCTTAAAAGATAAACATTTACTGACCCGGACATTTTTTAGACAATTTAAAGAAAAAACATTATTTCATATTATTTTTGTTTCTTGAATCGTTTTCGCAGCGCACGTAACGTAGCTCTCAAACATTAATAATTTTCCCCTTTTATTCTGTATGTCGCATCCTGATGTTTTATAGCCTAAACCTTTACTCGATACATAGTCTATCCAACACAGAAATAATCTTTCAATTGACACTAGTACTTCCCGAGATTAGCACGTTCAAACAAACAAATCTTTCAGTTTTATATATCAGTACAGGTACATCGCCAACACTGCACCAAAGAGCCCAGCAGAAATGTATTCAACATTTATGGAAATGCTTGAACACAATAACAAGTTGTTTCAACGTTAAATACTAGTAATGGGTGCGCAAGGAATACTTAAATAAGCAGTAAGAACACTCAACGTGCGCCGCTTTAATAAAAAGAAAACGCGATACGGGAAAAAGGGAAATTTATTCAGCAGAATCTTTGGGAAAATAACTGATACTATTCATGACGAAAATGAGCCGAATTTAATTTTCACATTTAATCGGGGCCGATGTTTACCGCCGAGACCTACCTTAGGCTTTGGTCTCACGAAAACACTATTTAGAAACCAGATGGATATTAGATCATATTGGCCTACTAAGCCTATACCTGACGTCGCATTGACTACAAAGTTTTAATGTAATTATGTGAAATAATCACAACAGCGCGTTTTTATTCTGCCATACAACACGACCAAGAACAACGGTACAAAATAATAATAAAACGCTACGCGATAAACTGCGTTTCTTGTAGACTACAACCTTAACATTTATCTAAGTACACCATTCGACTAAATAATTTTTGGTAAGGTTCAACCTTATTCCCTAGCCATCTATTCTGAAATTGAAACAGTGAATATGATATGATTAATTAATAACACCATTCTACCTGAATATGTATAGAGTCCGATTGTTAATGCATATGAGAGCTTATATACTAGTAAATAACTAAAGAAAATAATAAGAATTTTTTAACCATCTATGGTATATCTTCTTG